CCATGCTTTTCTGAGGATCACTTGGTGTGTATGCCTGCATATCTAATCACTCATTTGTGTTGGCACTGTTCAGTTTCTGTGTTTAGTAGACAATTTCACTGTCACGTGAATATTCACCATCCACATCGTGGAAAGACTGACAGATTGCTTTAAGACAACAGAGTTGTTTACAGGACTCTTGCGTACATGCAGATGCTAGCTCTACATGTCTGCAGCATAAATGCACCTGAGTAACTATTTGGAATAATCTCAACAGATTGCAAGGTTTATGTTGCATGCATATTTATCTCTCTGAGAAGTGGGGAACTGGATCTGGCTGGCGGGCCAAGTACTGCTCTCCCCCTCCCTGCATGGGCCACTTTGACAGTCAGGGCTACCCAGCTGAAAATCACCTGACACCATTATGACATCATATAACAAAGGGGCTTGTGTGCGCTGCTCACCAATAAGCAAGCAAGAGCACACTTTAAGCTCCAGACTGTCACTTTACAGCCCTGTCTTTACCTATGCCATAATTGATGTCACACATGATATCAGGTGCAGTTTAGAGAAAACAGCCTAGTGGGCCAAATAAGGATCCCTGCTCAGAAAAGGTTCTGGGCAAACAAAATGTTCAAGGGGATGGAGCAACTCCCTTAGGAGAAAATGTGGTATTCTTTGAGACATTTTACTTTAGAGATAAGGCAAGCAAGAGGTGGCACAACAGACATTTATAAAATTCAGTATGACATAGAGAAAGTGGATGAAGAAATGTTTTTTGCCCTTTCTGCTGACAGTAGAACTTGTGGACATCTAGCAAAGCCAAATGTTGGGAAATCTGGGACCAACACAAGGTAGTATTTCTTCACACAGCACGTAGTTAAACTATGAAATTCACTCCCACAAGCACCAATGATGACCACCAGCCAACTGTGCCATTGAAGGTATGGTTGTGATAACCATTTGCAGAGCTAGGACTTAAATACAGGGACTCAGCTACACTGGCAAAGAAAAAGCGCTTTATATGCGTTGCTTATGCCTTCTTACAGTGACATCAGCTGGCGCTGTGGAGTTCCACTTTTGCCAACCCAGTTTCTCATACAACAGCTTAAAACACGTTTAACTGAAACGCTTCTTTGATGTGTCCAGCCCAAGACAGCATTCCATTAGGCGTGCTGCCCTAAGTGGTGTGTTTATACCAGAAGGCAGGGTATAAACAAAACAGGGAAGAGGAAAAGCAAAATGGAGGCCCTCTGCTTTGGTAAGTATAACCAGATTAGTTATGGACGCTGCACACAGCATACCTTCAAATCAGCGCATTTGCTGTCTGGGCTACACAACACTGGCATAAGAATGCTGCAGACATTATACAATAAAAAAATTGACGGGACAGGTTCACATTAAATGTTGTATGTAGCAATTCAACCTTCACCACCCTGGTGCTCTCCAGATGTTTTGAACTACACATCCCATGACCCCCTTGGGCTCATGGTAGTTGTCAGTCAAAACATATGGAGAGGACCAAATTGGCGAAGGCAGTGCTAATCAATATGGCTGGGTGCAAATGTGCAAACAATTTATGCACTTTAAATAGGAATAGTGGCACCAAGTAACCTGTGTGCTCAGTCTCCTGTCCAGGTTGCTAGCTGTGGATGGGCAAAGTCAAGGTCTCAGCTTTTATGGTTTATCTTTAAACTGAATTGAAATCAACCAGGCCTTCAAACTAAGGACTCCTTCAAAAGAAAGGATTGTCCTGTGACAGCACTTTGAAAAAAGGATAGTTGCACAGCCATCCTCCTGCTTTGTGGAGCACCACTGTGATTATTTGCAAAGTAAGACGGGTTTTGTACGGCTCCCTTGCCACCCTGTTGCAGCTCCACCCCAGTTAAATAGGGTTCCAGGAGGCTTGAAGCAAGGAGGGTATCTGGCAGCAGGGATCAGATGCTTTACTCTCTGTGCCACTGAGACAGCTATCAGTCTCTCTGCTTTGGGCTCAGCTTTTCAGGCTAGAGAATGCATTACTGAGAGCAGCCATATAGATTCACCTTCCTCCATCCCTCTCTCCTTTCCCTCCCTCCGCTGGACTGTTGCTTTTTTCTTTTTCTTTGCAACCTGACCATCTGCCTGACCCGACTACATCTGCCTCTGGTCCTTCTAATCTTCATTTGATGCTCTGGAGCTAGACGTCTGCGAGGTCTATGTACTTGCCTCTGGCCCTTCCAGCTGACTGCTTGAAGGCTTGACCCTGCAGGGCCCTGACATGTATGAACTATGGCAATGACTTATCACCTTTTGAATGGAGTCCTTAGAGGGGCTGCGATAAGGAATCAGAGGAAGTTCCAGTGTTTGGCTCGAGAGCTTGATGGCGAAATGTGTAAGGTGAATGGATCGTAGTCTGAGAGTCAAGGTGCGAATCCAGTGCATGTCCCCTTTGCTTCACCACTTCATTATCCCTTAGGTATTCCTGCAGCATTGGTAGAAGAAATTCAGCTGTACAGGGTGGGACTTTCAGGAATCAGCATGAGTCCTGTGCAAAGCACATCACGCCAGCTCCCAGGTGAGCATGAAGTGCTAACATAAAACATCCTGCTGATACCTGAATCAGACACGTCCCTTTGATCCCAACTGGAGTTTACTATAAAGGTGGGGCTGTGTTTACTATTAAAGGGGACTCTCCACAAAACTGTAGTGGCAGTGTTCCCTTTAAAGATCCACAGTGACTAAAAGACGACTCTGTCGGTAGATTGAACATCTTATCCTTTTATGGACCATCACTGTAAACCCTTTAAATATGGTTTAGAATTCCCACAGCTAATTACTTAGGTGCTTATGTGATAGATTTCATCATTAGAACAAGCACCAAATGACCAGTTTCTGCTAATACAATAGCAAAATTTACATAGTAGTAAATTGTTTAATTGGCATTTTTACCCCAAAGAATGCTTATTAGCTCCACAGGAGACTTTTCTTGCTTGGAGTATTCTCCCTTACATTGCAGTTCTGCTAATTAAGCTGTATTAATGTGGCTATTTTCCTGTAGATTGAACAATACAATGAAATTGTCAGAAAGCAAGGCTAGGATGTTGCAATTTGGGAGCAACTCAGAGTCCTTGAAGAAAGCATAAAATAAAGAGGGCGGTTGGGAATCAGGTATGGCTTCAGCCACTTGGATTTTAAAACAGAACTGTCCACCCAAAGAACTATCCAGAAAACTGAGAACGGCAACATATTGAGGTAGTAGTGTTGTGTCTCTAGAGGCAAGGGACAAATCTGGAAGAGTTAATTAGTTGTGAAACAACGAGGCTGATCCTCAACTAACTACACATTAAAAACAGGCTCTCTTATAACAGCTTTATGATTAGTAATGAGCATTAATTACATCTGTATACATTAGAAGCAAACAAACAAGACATCCAAGCACCGCATATTTTAAACCAGGGCTATTTAATTTCCTCTATGCACTTAGGACTGCCTGAAGAACACTTGAAAGCACACTGGAAGTTTTCATGCAAAGATGGCCTAAAATGTTAGTGTTATTGCTATTACTTGTACGCAAATAATGAACTCATTCTTCAAGTGCCGGTCCTTAATGTAGCCGAAATAGCATCATCCACATGCAAGAGGGAGGTATCAACATGCTTAGGAGAGACACTAAGGTTAGAAACCTTGCTGGGGGAGGAAGTTAAATCTGCCCAATGAGGACTGACCATGCTCTTTTGTTGGAAATAGAATAATTTTCCTGTTCTCGCAGTAGCCAACCAGATGTGTATGGAAACCGCAAAGTAGGACCTCAGCATGATAACACTCTCCCCACTTGTGATTCTCAGTGGAGAATCCTTAGAGAGCATCCTGTTGCAAAGGCGGATCTAGGGGAGTGTTACTGGTTCGGTCACGCCAGGTGTGGAGCTTCTGGGGTGATTCAGCAGGCGTTGCAACTATTATGTCCACAGAAGGCGGGGGGGGGGCAGATTCTGGCATCACACAGGGTGCCACTGAAATCTGAGACTCCAAGGTCCACAACTGCCAGTTGGGTCACTTAAGGCCAGGATGGCTGTTGGCTTCATACGTAACACAGTGCTATATTGACTTTTAAGTATCTCCTGTGCTGCTGTTTATACAATGTGGGCTGATCATGTATAAGAGCAGCACAGGAACATATGAACCAAAGTAGGCGCTCAGAATCATGATGCTTTTTGTCTGCAAAAAAAAAAAAAAAAGAGGGGGAAAAGAGAGGAAGGAATTATTTAAGAGATTTTACCTAGAGAAATAGTTAAGTATTCAGGAGCATGCTAGTCGATGGGAGGGTTTCATCCTGAAAGGTGGCACGTAAATCTTTGAAACAAATAAATCATATATATTATAGCAAAAATGAGCATCCCTGTTTGTGATACAAAGTAGATTATGGAGAAAGTATGAAAGGGCCAGCCAAAAATAAAATAAAATCCTGATATAAAAGCCACCTTGCAGAGTGCCCTTAAGAGAATTTAACATCTTTGGAAAGGGACTTGATTTTCACATTGATCTTTTTATTTACAGTGTCTTGAAGTCTTCCCCATACGCTTGTCTTTGGCTTGTTAACAAACCTTGTCAGAGGGCAGAAAATCCATTAATCTTTGCACACCAAGTAGGAACCCCCCCCTTCTTTCCGTAGTCTGGCTTGCTTTTCCCTCTGAAAGAGCAATGGTGTTATTACCGTTTATCACCAAGTCAACTTTTCGGCATAGGAAAACCTGGAAAAACAAAGCAAATAAGAGGTTCTTTCTTTTTGTTGTAATGTGTACATGCACACACACACACACACACACACACACACACACACAAATCCCTTGTAAATAAGCACACGGAAATTGTTAGCCTGCAAACATTTTTTCCTACCCTGATCAAAGGCTAGTAGCCTGTCTCTGCATGCTGGCCTGAGGAGCGAAAGGTTAGGTAAAGCAGGTGGACTGGTGCAGGAGGGATGGAGCAATCTGCTTGGTAGAGGTTTGCTGAGTTTTCGGAGAGGGTTCTGTCCCAGCTGTACCTTAAGATGCCAGGGATTCAGCCTGGAGCCTTCTGCATGCAAAGCAGACACTGTACTACTGAGCTATGGTCCCTTTTCATGAAGGGTTTTCCCTTCCACACAAACACACATATGATTAAAAAATTTTTGAGTCTTGAACTTATACTCTGAATGTAATAGTCTTATGAGGGTCTTAATGTGTATTGTCTAACTTCGTAATGTGGCAAGCCAGTTCATTGAGCTGAATGGGGTGCCCTGGACTTCTGCATTGAAGGTACCACTGGGTAGTTTTGAGAGACTACAGTACAGCCAAGATGAGGTATGGTGGAAATGGCTTGGCAGAAGGGATTGGAATTGAAGCATGCCTGCTTCTTGAAGTCAGTAATCATCATAGCTTACAGCTACCCCATGAGGTAGGTTAGACTGAAGGACAATGCCTTGCCATTTCTAGAATGTTGAAGGTATCCACTGTCATTTGAGCAGGACATAATGCACAAGTTCTCCTTATTCATTGAGATTCCAGAAGTAAGAAAAGAGGCTATTCAAGTCACTTGTGCAAGAGGCTATTTCTGAATCCACCGAACGACCCCAAAACTTGAGCACTTCAACAAAAACAAAAGCATTTTAATGGTTAATATACAGAGGTTAAAAAATGCAGGTTTATAAAAAGGAATCAAAATGTGAAAACTATTCTCTTCTCTATTCTAGGATTCGTTGGTTTGTTCAGACCAAGCATTCATTCCGAAATGTTGATAGAGTATTTTCTGGATTGGTGATTTTTTCTCTGATTCAGTTACTTAGTTATGAATTGCTTCCCACAAAACATATTAAAGCAATGAGCAAAACAAATTAATTTGATCATTATTTTGTGCATCTGATTAAAAGAAGTGCAAACATGTTGGGTTTTGGTTTTTTAAAATGCCTCTGGGTGTCTGATGACTTAAGGTAGTGGGATAATTCAAAAGGACTTCAGAACACTGGAATGTTGACTTGCTTCCCTAGTTTTAATTATTGGAATGCACTGAAGAGATATTTTTAACAAAGGCAGCAGCTAATCCACTTGCTCACCATCATTAGCTGGTGTCATAATCTTATCCTTTCTATGATACCCTTCGTAGAAGCATTTGCATTCATTATTATTATGTAAAGCAAAAAGCACGACCAGGCCTGCCCCCAATGAAGAAGAAAGTAATATAAAAATTTTGATTGGATGCTTCCCATTTCAGATTGTGTATTGCTATGGCTATCAGCCAATAACCTCCTTACCTACCCATGTGGGAGCATAATGCACACTCAATGTGCACATAAGAGCACAAAACATTTACATCACAAAACTAGGTGTCTCTTGCTTCATCCTCCATGACCCTCATCTCCAAATGTGGTGTCACCTGGTAAAAAGGTAAAGGTACCCCTGCCCGTATGGGCCAGTCGTGTCCGACTCTAGGGTTGTGCGCCCATCTCACTTAAGAGGCCGGGGGCCAGCGCTGTCCGGAGACACTTCCGGGTCACGTGGCCAGCGTCACCTGGTAGTTGTAAGCTATTAGGCAGCTGAACTGGTAGCCAGACCCCATGAAAATGATGTCTGAATTCAGAAAGGAACCAAAATGAACTGCAATTAACTTAAGTAGACAGTAATATCCAAGTGAGGAGAAGCTTCTCTGTGAAAATATGTTCAACCCCGATCTCAATTGGAAGAAGAAGAAAATTCTTTCCTAGCAATTTTTTTTTTTTTGTATATATGGCTATTTAGGTTTACTAAGCATACAAAATTTTAAATTCCTTGAGAAGGCACAAGGAATGATCAAACACAAATTAACTATCCACAAAGTAACTCAGTGAATACAGGTTGAGAGCAACCCATCTCACAAGGGATTTATTTATTTTTTTGGCTCACTTTCAAGCAGTTGTCACATTCCAATTTGGAGTAGCAACGTTGGCGAAGGGGTTGTTTAATTCTAGCTCTTGGGGCTGTTTCCTTCAACCCTGAAGCTCCTATTAGATATATTCACACTCTGGGTTTAAAAGAAGACTCCAGATCTGTGTGTGTGTTTGCGGATTTAGATTTGGGGGAAAGGGTTAAACTAACCACTCCACTAAATTGGTGCCCTCCCCTATGACTGCTTTAAAGTTGAAATATCACAGAACTTGAGCATCACATCTGAATTGACCTAGTGCCTTCTTTTCCAAGACAGATGGATTTTCCAGTGCCCTTTCCCAGGTCACTTCCTGATGACCTATTCATTGAGGATTTATCCTAATTTGTGTGGGGGGAGGTAAGATGATGTTGGCTATTTATTAAGCATTCATTCGTATCTGATGCAAGTGTTATTCTGCACTTTCCCATGTCTTTTCCTATCACTTTTCCTTTTTGTAAAAAGCCTGATCTTTCAGGGAAGTGGGTTTGTTGCCCAAGACCATTAAGTCAACTCTAATTGGGCAACCTGAATTTCCCAGTATGCGACTGACTCCCCTTGCCCAAAAATCTCAGCAGAAGTGTCCCCTGCCCAGTATGCAAAGCCTATATATTTCTGGAATCAAAGTTGCAAGGAAGCAACTTTTTATGTGTGGAAAATTATGCCTCATGATAGGTAAGGCTCGTTTGTTCAACTTAATGAGATTCATTGCCAGTCATGTTTCTTATTTGACAGTTGACAAAATGGGGTATAATCCACTACAGTTTCTGTACCTATAGATGCAAAATAGAGAGCGAGCGAGAGAGAGAAGTTGCTTGGGAGGAAAATAAATAAACTAAGTATACTGCTTCTCAAGTGGAAGAAGAGGAACCGGAATCTATAGGAACAAAACCCTGAAACTGCTAATATACCTCCCAACCAAAGGAAACCTGTTCTTGAGATAGGACATCTAGGAAATCCCTTTGCAGCTGTTGCATCTGAATGTAATAGCTTGCTAGCAGGAACACAAAATGGTACTTGCTCAGCTAGAACAGCAGATAACACAGCTTGAAAGGGACCTTGCAGATGCTTGGAAACTTTGTAGTCAGAAAGATCAGGTACGCTCTTGCGATGATAAAAATGAGCAAAACAGGTATCTCTTTTAAAAATCACATTGCAAAAGGGAGTGTGAGAAGCTATGATGTGCAGCACTATATATGTGTGTTGGGGTGGGGGGGAGAGGTGAATTTCGAAAGGAGGAAAAAACCCACCCTGTTTTATCACAAATTTTGTAAGTACACATTTCTTTGGTGTTGGTCTTGAAACTTAAGATATGTTTGCATTTGTGATAGCAATTCTATCCCTTCCAAAAAGCATGTTGATATGAAATAAAATGAATACAGCTGTATAAATGTCTGTAGAGATTTTAGAAACTGCATTTCCCATTTTCGCTGTGAATATGCTCAATATCAGAGACGGAGCTGGAGGCATTTTCCCTTCTATAAAAATGCACAGAGGCCTGGAGTTGTGTTTTTTTAATGCTATAGTCATGCGAAAGCTATCTGTATAACATACATGGGAGAGGGAAAGATAGGTGCATTATTTTGGATGGAGATCCGCATTATGGGGAGCGGGGATATCTCAGTGTTGAGGTTTCTGGAATATGCTGCAGAAAGATTTCATTATGTTAAGCAAGTGGGGGAATTTGGGGGCCCCTGCTATACATTTGTGTTTTGTTAAACTGAAGTGGCTATTCTAACAATGATTACAAAACTACAGTGACAAAGCTTATATTTTTGTAGATTGTGTGCAGAAACCTACCTCTATTTTATAGAAAGGTACAAGGTAAAGGAATATAATTTTGCCATTCCCTATATAAGAATGAAAATGGTTTTTAAAATCCAGGAGAAAATAAGTATTCCCCTTCTTAAAATAACATTTAGCTATTTTTTATTATTTAAAAAAATCACTGATGATGAGAAATTAAATGAAAGCATGACAGGATATTATGTACTGCCTAAAGTTTTACACACCTGAAAAAATACGTTAATACAAATAATTATTGTCATGTTAACATCACAGCCAAACATATCTGCAGGTTTTAAGCTGTCTAAAGCAATTTTACTTTCTCAATGAAGAATGTTTAACATTTGAACCAAAAACAGTACAGCACGAATAATTAAAGGCTTAAGTTAAATACATAGACAGTCATTTAAATTTAGATCTGCAATAACATTTACTATTATTCTCCAAGGCTTTGACTGTGCTTGACAGAAACAAAGTACTCTGGGATTAATTTCAAGAAGTGGTGCCAACTGTGTGCAATTTGCTGTAATTAAGACATGAAAGAGTACTAAATATTCAGATTAAAAGAAGCATGATGGAGCATGATAGAGAATCAAGGTGTGGCACTATGCCAACGAAGCACAGATGCTTGTGGATTCCCAGTTCTGGGCAATACAAAAGTTAAACTTCTTGGCTGAACTTCTGCATCATTCAGAACTGTTTATTCATTTGCACTTGGCTATTCACAAGTAAATGGGAGATACACAAGTTGAGAATATATTTTTTAAAATTGCAATTAAAGTTGAGGATTTTTTAAAAAAAAACTATAACAAAACAAAAGTCAGTAAGTTGACTATATATATATTTTTACACACACATATGAACAGTCTAAAACAATTTACTTTGCATCTTGAAATAATGTTGACACTGAGAATTTTGTTGACAATTAGAGAAGCACTTTAATTAACCAGAAAGAGAGGGTGGTAGCATTTTGTCCGGTTTTTTTTTATCCTTGGGGTGTGGGTCCCCCCCCCCCTCACATTCAGTTACCTTCCTACCAGCTGAATTGCAGTTGCTGGCTTCAAGCTGTTCATTTTCTTTTTATTCACCAAACCCTTAAAAAACAACAAAAGCAAACAAAAATCCTCTTATCTGACACATTTCGATCAAGTAACTGTTTTCTTGCCCCCCCCTCCAGAATTATGTGTAATATTTTCCTTTGACAATTAATGAATTAATTTTAATAAAACCATTTGTCATTTCCCCCCCTCCACCTATTTTTTTTTAATACAATGCAAAGTGTGTATGACTTTTTGATCTTATAGGACATGGGAGGACGTGACCTCTTTGCTAATGAGAATATGTATGTGTGTGTGTACAGATATATATAATCTCCCTTTTCGTATTGCTTGA